CGTAGCCTCCTAGGTGGAAATGGGCCTCATCAGTCAAGATGATTTTTCGATGGAATTCCGGATCATTTTCATGCATTTTAAGTACCCAATCAGCAAAGACACGACGTTGTTGATGATGGGCCGGCTCGAGTTCTTGTGTTAACTGAACTTTATAAGCCTTAAGACCCAATTCTTTATGCAAAATACGGTGTAATGACGTTTGTGGAATGCCCAATTCCAAAGAACGACGAGGAATGGACAAACCTGCGTTTTCTTCAACACTTTGGGCTACAGCAGCAAAATTCTCAGTTGTTCTTGAGCGACGTGCACGGGTTTTATTCTTCACATCACTAACTTGTCCCAACAGCTCGAATTTTTCCACCAATTGTCTTTGACCACCAATTGACCCACCAATTGACAAGGTGCTTCACGACGACCAAAAAATGCTTTAGTTTTGCGAACTGTGACTGCAAGATTTTCACCATTTTTGTAGTGAATTTTAATAATTTCAATGCGTTGTTGAAGTGTGTATCGTTCCATTTTTAGTAATGGCGTAGTTTCTACTTGTCAAATGTCAAAAAATAAAAGCTTCAAAAGTGACAGCTACCTAAATACCGGGTGATTCAAAATAACACCTCTTGTTGGAAAACCCTTTATAAGAGGATTAAGACAAAACTGAAGACACCGATATAAAGTATAAACACAGTTCACATTGAAAAAATATAAATTACCAGTATTACGTATATGGGAATAACTTGTCTCAACATTTGTAGTAAGACTGGTAAAACTGGTTATGACTATCTGAAAGGTTACGTATTTTTACCTTAGTGTTCAGTAGGTAAAGGTTAGACAGCAACGAAAATACATATATTTCTATCAACGGATAGTTGTGACGCTATTATAATAGTACCACAAGGTATTTTATACATAAATACCTATATTACTAACCTATTAGGTTCACCGTTAAAAAATGTAGGTTCGATGTCAGTGTACACGGATATCCAGAGACTTTCTCTCTTTATATTTATTTTTTTAACACAATTTTTTTTTTAAAAGACAACTGCACTAGGAACATATCATGTGTCGCGGGGGACTTTACATTGTTACGTTCATGAAACGGACACAAACAACACCCAGACTCAGAACGACAATTTGTAGATCACACAAGGTGTTGTCCCATGTGGGGATCGAATCCACAAAGTTCAGTGTAGCAGGAAGCGGGCGAAATGAAAGCTATTGTATTGAAGCTATTACAGTACCGTCTTTACCATAATGAGGGCCCCATTGTCCGTGGGCCCCAAAAAGACATATAATATATTTAAATACATAGAGAATTTTACATAAAGTAAAACTATTTAACCACACCGTGTATTGTCGACACCACTGGACCACACCACTTGCACTGGGATGTCGTTTACATTTTTTTTTTGGTAAACGCCACTGCCGACTAGTGATGTATAATATGTCGTGTAATATAACAATTTGTTTTATTTTAATTTTTAATGAGAATGCTGAAATTCACCGAGTTCACAGGGGTTTGTGTTTTGTTTTAATTAAAATAAAATCGAATTATTTTTTTACGATTTCATGTGTTTTCATTGCTTGATAAATTTGGTATTTATCTCATCTTTATCATTTTTAGGTTAAACCGTTTTTTTTAAATTGAGTGGTGAGTCATTTTTATGTCAATTTATTATTACAATAAGTTTATAAATAAAGACCTTGAAACTTTTGGAATAGAGAATCAAAAATGTCACGTATCGCATTATATAATAATATAATAATAATAAAATATACCTCACACATTTCACACACACGGCTGTCTGATCCCAAACTAGGCAGAGCCTGTGCTATGGTTACCAGACTGCTGATAAACATACTAATATATTTTTAAATACATACATACATATTATAGATAAATCGATCGACATTATACAGAATTTTAGAAAGTATGTTTTTTAAATTGATTTAAATTATTATCAGAAAAAAAAGGTTAATGCATTTAAGAAGTGGGTTCCGTTACCTCACGTAGTCAGTGAGAAGTAACGAAATAATTGAAAAACATTGGTTTTCTGTGAGGCCTTGGCATCACTCCGGTCGGCTGATTTGAGTTGAAGCATGACTCTCCTGAGTTCCAAGTGCGAGTTTATTTCACATCAACTCGCTCGTCACGATGACCGCGTTCGGCATGGCGATTGGCCGACACTGAAATTTCCACCAATCACAACGCTAAACGCGCTCGCCGTTGACAGCGAGTAGATGTGAAATAATCTTACACTAGGCCCACTGACCTCTCTCATGCTCTAGTGTGTGTCTCGTTTGAACCCCTACACCCCTACTGCCCCTTTCACTACGACCATATACAAAGTAATTGTCACAATAGAATAAAATAAAATTCTACTTTACTTAATGGTTATTTATTTAACTTAGTAATTATAATTTTATATGAATAAACAGCAGACGATGTAAGAATGGAAGACGTCATAATTACTTAATTACCATGATCAGCGATATTTTTAATCTATCACGTTGTCGTACAACAATTATAAAATACAAGATTAAATACATGTAAGTATCGAAGGATTTAAGTGGCAGACTCTAGGTTATCACAACGGCTATTAAATTAAAACGTAGTCAGGAGAACTGGATTTCTTGTGACTCCCCTTCTCTTAACATACATATTTAAAGAACTTAATTTCCAGCCAATCTGAATCTATCTAACGGATAGAAATAAAGGTGTGGGATGTAATTAAAATGATCTTTTTAGTGGATCTTTGTGGTTGTGGTTTAGTAGGCCTTGGCCTGGCAGCTCCATACGGAAAAAGGAAATGGTTATTTTAAATCGTTACCTTTTAAAGTCTATTAAAGTTTATACACGTGCAGGTTGTTGGTGAACTTTTTGCAGGGGGCATACCGTGATCTGCGTATTCAATACAAGAATGCGTTCCGGGTGTTGATAGGACCGTAACAACTCATATGTTTGCCGACGCGAACGTAGACAGTTTTGCTATGATTATGTTTTGGTACGCGGCAGTCCCGACAGGTGGGACTCTCCGATGCTGGAACAATGGATACCACTACACACAGTCAAGTAGACGTCGTCCCCTGAATAATGGAATTCGTCTTAATTTGTTTAAAATATTACTAACACGGGTCAAAGGCTAGCACACGATTGTATGAAAGAAATTCAGAAATAAGCGTTTTTATTTATATGTTTATTATTAACTTATTTCTAGTACATACTATTTTCTCAACGTAATTGTGTATAGAAATAATTCAATTTCATGAAATAAGTGCGATATCGTCCAACAGGCCACACTAATATTCTAGAATAGCATTTTAAATCTATGTTACACTTAACAATCCTTTTTTATTTAAACCAACTTGCGCAATCCCATTAATAGGAATCACTATGCAGAACAAAACAATGTTTTTTATTTATTTTATTAAATAATTATTCAATGAAAAAGAGGCATCATATCCTCCCGTATCGATAATTAATTCTAATTTATTTCAGTAAACGCACTTAATAGAATTTTTTTTAACGAGGTTCTACATATAAGTCAGCAGTGGAGCGCCGTGCGTGACGGAAAACTTTACAGTGTACAATGAGTAACAGAAGTGAAACATATTTTCAGTATTTTTTCTATTAGGGTCCCTTTATGGCTAAACGGAGAATGAAAAACTATCAGGTCACAAGTACCCACAAATATGATATAGAAATTTGTTTCAAAATAGGAGCCAGGAATACTCGTCAATAATGTGTGGGTATGCATTAAGATCATCGGGCCACTGTTTCTTGGGTGGCCTCGGCGGTGTTGAAAATCTTGTGGTGAATTTACGATTTCTGTAACTCACAAAATCCCTATCCCCAAAACAAAGATAAATGAGCTTGGCAGCCTGCCATGCCAAGGCTCTCTCTTGATAAGAAAATCACTTATTTCAATTTTTAATTGGCTCAGGCTCCCTTAAGTAAATCAAAAATTAAATTTTAATATGCAGTAAACGAAGACGCTATTGATACGTGCGTGTTCCCGCCTCTAAATGGAGGATAACAATACCTCTTCCAATTAATGATTTTCATGCGTCCAAACTTTAAAGTGAGTATTATAAACACAAAACATAGTACGATATACTCTGTGGTTACTAAAAAAAGTGCGAAAATTCTGCAAACGTCAAAATAGTTCATAAAATGTATGTTGTTTATTCTTGGGTATGGGGTATACTATTTACAATTTATTTTACTATTTTATCTAAACTTGTCATGCAGTACTCTTTAGTTATAACCATTAATAAAGTTAAGTTTTGTTATAAGATGAAGCGTTTATGACGTTTTATCATCAAATCGGTTTGGTCCTTTCCCAAATTAATTTTTGAAAGGTCCAAAAGATGTCTTCCTTCCTGTATCGTTCATCAGTTCAGTGCTTACTCTCTTCCTTTCCATATACTCTTTCAGACAGTCCTGGACAAACTATTGGATAATCTATTGCTCCTCAATTTCCACCTACTTTTAGCACTGCTACCAAATTAAGCTGCTTAATTTAAAAATATTAAAAAATAAAATAAAAATGTCATATCGCAAGATATTTATTAAGAAAAACTGAGCCTAATTTTTCTGATTAGTGAAGGCAATTTAAAACAGTAAAACAAAAGTTTTAAAGAAAATATTTATTCAAATGCCTAACATAAGGACGTAACAATACTTCATAACAAGGTTACAATAAAAATTGAGCAATACTTTGGTTGAGTAACATAATATTTGATTTTAGTGAGTACAAACCGAACATCACTAATTTTACTTCATACGTTAATTAATAATAATGAAAAGAAATTTAGCATGTTCATCAAAGTATCCACTAGAAACAATAACATCATCAAAATTTAATTAAAATGGTAACTGAAATAAGCGACAGTGAAGAAGTGCTAATACTCTAAAAAATTAAAAAGAATACTGATAACAAAATTTCATTAATAATTAACATCTTTTCAACTTGATAGGGTAGTGTTTAGAAATAAAATACTTAATCTATCACGAGTTGGCGGAAAGAGCCATCGATACCGAAGAGTTCATCATAGTTGGTAGGCTTCCCAGGTCGCAGGGTTTCGTTGGCTTTTAGGTTTTCTTGTTCCGCGAACCAGTCTTTGTATTCTTCTAGTTTTTTAACCCAATCATCTGAAACATTTTTAAAGTTTGATTAATTGTCCAAAAAATCAATTTCAGTGGTTATTATTTTAATAAGATTTATAATAAATGAATTATAACAGTTGCTCTTTATAAAGGGATACTAATTGCTTAGTAGAAATGTGATGTTATTTTATCAACTTTACATGCCATTAATAAGTTTAGTTGTAGTGTCGTTTATATTAATAGTTCGTTGACAATGTAGATAAAAAAATGTTTTATAAGGTGGCAAACGAGCAGGTACGATAAATAAATAAATAAATCTTTCGGACATCTAACACACAACGCCATCTAGTATCAAACTAAGCAGAGCTTGTACTATGCTAGATTGACTGAAAAAATACTTATGTACCTACTTTTCTTATAAATAGACATAAATGGGATATTCATAACCTTTTTAGGTTATAATATATGTAACTCCTAATTTGTAAAATTTTAGACATTTTTAAATTACAAATTTGTGTTTATCATGACACTTTTGCATGTGTAATAATTAAATATTAGAGGTTCATACGGTATTTATTTCAATTAATTATTATTAATAATAACAGTTTACTTAAACCTAATCCAATTAGATGAGTAAGTCGCATGCAATTAATAAATGTAATTTACAAAAAAAAAAATATAAATATTTCTTGAACACTGCTCACAACTAAAAATAAATTGTACTCCTTAATAAATAATTTGAATGGTTCAAAAACTATGACGTGTGTAGCTCCACACGTGGGAGAACATAAAAAAGTGGTTTAATAATATTTATGGAATTTCCTTTGCCCCTTTTTGCGAATAATTTAGAAAGTTTCGAGGAAAAAATATTCTACTGGCGCAGTGTATAATTTTAAGGCATTGTGTTGAGGTCACGGATTCATAGTTACGAAATTCTGTGGCAATCGTTACGGGTAGATGGAGTCCTAAAAACTCCGATATCAGTCTTTCTACAGAAGGTTGTGAAGGTCTGATGGCGGTCTTTCAGCGCAATAATTGAAGTTTAACCGTATTGTAGTAGACTTAAAACCGACCCGCACTCAGTTTGGGAAGAAAGCTCGGAGGAAGAAGAAGAATTTAACTCATAATGAAAATGATGATATAATATCAACACCGCGGGAGAGCCGTGTTTCTGAATAAATGTCCCAAATATACACCTGCCACACACAGCTTTGCAACACCCAAAGGTTTGACTGGAAGAAAATGCCTGAGGCATTAAGTCCGCCTTATGCAATATGTTCGCAGGAAGACTCAATAAATAAATAAAAAAATATATGTATCAGACACGAGCGGAGTAATCTCGGCTTCACAGAAAATCGGTGTTAAGCAATCCGGAGTAAATGAGGTAATGAGTAAATACCTTCTTTTGTTTGTTGTTCAAAAATGCCAACGTGCCTAAAAACTTTTCACTTATACGTAAAAAAATATTACGTATACTTACTGTGAAGGTCATTCATGGAGCCAGCGTTACCACCATATTCGGTCGGCATCATATCCTTAGGAACATATTTGTAGAGATCATTGGTGTCGGTGTGAAGGAAGATCTAAAAAAAAGGTTTCAGATTTGTTATAATACACATACAATAATTTTAAATAATAAAAATGTTTTTAATCCTCTTTGATAACGAGCTTTACAGTAGTCGCATATGAAAATAATCTTTTTTTTTTCGGACATCTGACACACAACGCCATCTAGTTTCAAACTAAGCTGAGCTCAGTACAGCAGTCGCATACGCTACCACTGCACAACCGATGTGTAATATCTGACGGCTAACTCTATTACCGCGAGCGCTCATTAGTCAACGTTGTTACACATTTTCGTCCCTTTTCAGGTTGTTACACATCAAAAATTTTACGAATAAAAAGCGATTAATATCAAAATATCTCACCCTTTCTTTGATCTTGTCCTTGATGAAAGGTTTGACGAAATTGACGATCTTGTCAACAAGAGGAGACACGTTGATGACGTGCACTTCTTTCAGTTTCACAGGGTATGCCTCCTAAAAAGTCAGAAAGTATTAAGACTTAATGATTACACTAAAGTACTAAAGTTTTTATAAGGTCACATTAAATTAACTTAGAAATATATCATGCCTTTTAAAGCTAGCGTATTTTTTCCTTTATTTATCAAATTTAATTAATATTGATAAAAACCTTAAAATAAATAAAACTGTATCTTTTCATCATATTTGAATAGAATGGAAAACGAAGTTGATTCGCCTACATTAAAAGAGAATTTTCCATATTGCTCATTAATGAAAATCTGATGTAAAAAACATAGGTACAAAAATATAATAGAATCTCTCCTCTTCTTATAGAAGTCAGTTAAAAAGGCAAATAGACCTTCTTGTCCGTCTCTGCTTTTAAGGTTGTTTTGTTTAAGCTAGCATTTTGCTTGAGTTAGACGTCTTTTATCATGTAACTTTTACTTTTTTAACTTTGGAAAGCTTTTAAATCTAGTGTAAGCCAATGAAATTTATTATATGTGTTAAAAGTGACTCTTAAGTTCTTAATCTGAGAGTTAGTTTATTGAAGTTACAATTTCAGAGGAGCTTCGGCTACTAGGCGCTCAACTGATCAGATCTTATCCACAAGGGAGTGTTGTACCGATTGATACCTTAATTTAATGCCAAAATCTACATTAACATCGTCGAAGTTGCTTGCAAAGTTAAACGGATAAAGTTTAAAATGATTGTGATGTTATTGAAAAAAAATTACCATCTAGATGCCACATCTAGTTATTAATTTTACCTTAGATCTTTGGTTAAGTTGCTTGGTTCCTTGGTTTTTGTGTTCAAGTGTTTTGCAAGTTAGTAATCTTGTGCAAAATATATTTGACTACCCACTTTTATTTTTTGTTTTATTCAAACGCTCAATATATTTATTTTGTTTACTTTTATGTATGGTTTCTCAGTAAGTGAATTTTGTAAATTCTTTTGAGAAATAAAGATTCTTAAACCGTAAAATCAATAAAAATACTTAATATAGTACTTGTGTTATTGCGCACCTACTGAATCTTAAGTTTGAGTATATGATAACTTAAACTTTTACCTCGGTGGAAATCTCAGGCAGTTCTAACATTTCAAACCATTGAATTGCCTGCCCAGTTAACTTATAAAATCAATTCTCGAATAGACTTTGTCTCAATTATTACATTCTTATACCTATTAAGTTTATTCAAACTTTCTAAAAATACGTTGTTTACGTTTGACCTTGTATAAAACTTAATTAAAAATAAATGTAGTATTCGCTTTGCGGTTTTATTAGCAATGGTAATGGGCATATTTCAATGGTACAGATAAAATCTTATTTGTGAGAACTTAGTTGGTGGTATTAACAAGAAAATTAGTCATTCGGATATACCTAAGTTATAAATAGCTTTTTAATAAAATGAATTAATGAAGTTACTTATTTAGCGTTTGTATTCAGTATCATAATCTTTCTGGGTGTATGTTACGGTCGCCGTAGTTATTTATCGCTTTCCATTTCACCTTTCTTGCATTCAGTCCTTTCGTTTGTGAAAGTACACCTGTTACAGCATAACTCGTACGTTAACTCATTGCAACTTCGTGAACTTTCATACCTTAAACCCGAATCGTTTCAAAATATATTAATTTCCCGGTAGTTTTAATATGATGTAATTTAAAAATAGTCTCAACTTTAAATTACATAAATTATATCTTGAATTACATCTCACAATAATCTACAAACAAAAGCGATTGTGTAGAGATCGCCGTGAGTGATAGAACCGCCAATTTGTTCAACAAAAATGGTGTATAATAAAGAGATTACATACATATGTATATACATGCGCTCACGCCTCATTCCCGTCTAGGGTAGGGAGAGACGATAGGACGCCATTTGCCATGATCCCGACATTCAACTCATGCCTGCTACATATTCAAGTAAAGGATAATAATTGCCACAAATTACAAACCTGTACGCAGACTAGGAATTTCTTGACGAGAGTTGGTGTGAACTTGGCAAAGTGTGTAGGAGTGGCTACAGATGCGTCTAGAATGTATACGTCGCCGGCAACTCCTTCTGTCTCTTCTGCCAATCTGACGTCACCCAACATGAGGGCTAGCTTGAAGACATCCGCTACATTCGGCGTCTGAATGTCCTTGTCAACACCTGTTAATGAACACTTATATAATTATTGTCTGTGATACGCGATTGGCTGTGATACGAGAACTTTTTTGGTTCTATTTTTTTGTTATTTTCTACCATAGCGATATAAAATATGGTATTTCAGGTAATAAAAACTCATTGCTCCAAAAAGTAATGAAAAGTAAGTACTAAATTACTTTGTAACAAAATGTATGTACCGCTTTTCTTTTTTTCAAATACAAATAATCCATAACTGAAATGCTCGTGGCAGTAACTACCTAATTAATTTACCTTAATAAATATTAACTTACCTCTCATGATAATAACCCGCCGGCCTTGTGGAGTGAGTCCGGGCAGTGGGGGCATTTGACTGAAATATAGAGAAAGCAGTATTTCGTCATTAAATAAATAAAAAAAACATAGTTACACTTAGAATGACTTTATAGAGTATTACACCATATATCACGCTTTGACATCACGCCCAATGCTAATGGGTTTACTTAATATAACTTACAAAACTGAGTAAAAATGAATCACTTAACATATAATCAAAACATAGGACCAGACGGTCGTATGGGTCAACAAGTTCAAACCTGACTTACTTTAATAAGGAAGCATTTTAGCGTAGTATGTAATAAACCAACAACCAATTATTGTATATGTACTTTAAGATCATAAGCTTCAGTACTCCAATCAGTAGTAGGAGACTTCTAATAATTTTATCCGCAAAATAAATCCTACCTATGTATAATTACTCATGCTTATAATCAACAATATCCTCGACCTCATGAGATCAAGTTGTGGGAGGGAATTGCGTAGCTTTCTGAGAATTAATGGTAACAAAAAAACGAACAAGTGATGGAAAATTTGGTTATTTTGCATACACAATACAAATAAAGGGTATCTGAAATCCAGAAATATACTGAGATAATAGATAATACTGCTACCGAGAGTTATATCCTGTTTTACCAAAGAATACCAAATATAATTGTTTCATTAGTTTAGGCGTCAAAACGTCACAGCTATACAATTACTTTAATAATAATAATACATAATAATATCATGTTATTTTATGTAAGTATAGATAATGTTTGTTGTTACCTAATTTCTTTTTTTTTACCACATTCACACAACGCCATCTAGTCCCAAACTAATCAGAGCTTCTACTATGGGTATTAGACAACTGATATAAATACATATATTTAATACTTTTTTTTTGTAAATACATGCATATAAACACCCAGACCAAATCAAACATTAAATGTTCATGCACACAGATGTTTGACTTGAGCGCCATTTGGAATAGCAGTCCGTTACACAAACTACTAAGCCATCCGGTCGTCAATTACCAAAATACATTAATTAACCAAAATATTTAACATTATAACGTAACAAAGATTTATGTAAAAATTGTGTGCCCGTGCAAAAATGTAAATTTTAATTACTAACTATAACTTCATGGTTACTTAAAACCACGTAATTTGCTAAAAAATGGTCTTACGAATGTCGGTCAGTTAGATCCAGTATCTTTTTACAAAAAAAAAAGTGTGTTTATCCGTCTTAGAAAGTTCCAGAGAACTTTCTTTATATTTTGTTGAAAAACAGATAAAAAATAAATTCAACAACTGCCTTAAAGCCACATTAGGAATAGTTAAAGATAAACTTGGTAAACAATCACTTGGCTCGTCATTGATGGTAAGTTAACGTACTTATGAAGACTACGGTAGTCAAGTCACTTGCAGGTTGCCAGAGAACTACTCAGAGAGCTCTCGTGACCTAATCTTACCCTAGCTCTATCGGGTAAAGGTTCTTCAGAGAGATTCTTTACTTACACCGTATTTAAAATTTCTTGAAGCTCAGGACGAGTGACATCTCTGTCATTGAAGAACTCTGGGACCGCTGAACGCATGGTGAAGTACATGTCCAGTTTACGTTTGGTCTTCTCCAAAGAGAATTTACATCCACGGAGGAAAGTTATGATACGCTGGTCATCTGTTGAAGATCACAATACATTTATTACTATTACATTGGTATTGATTCTTAAAAAAATACGAATCGGTAAGATATCAGAGCCTGTGCCATACTTATTTATTTTTAAATCCATACATATTAAATACCCCGGCTAAAAACCAATGACGGTGCTCAGCATTATCCTGGGTAAGAATCGACCCACGACCTCTGGTTTAGCAGTTAGAATCTAATCTAATCTAAATCAATTTTATAGATAAAATGCGATTCAACCGATATTTAGCATTTTAATGGTGAAGAATAACAGTGTACCAACCAAACTCATCAGGTAGATGAGGTTCCTGCTTCAGCCACTCCTTGATCTGTGCAAGGTCGGCCTCTTTAGTGTCAGCCTTCTCGTTCAACTCCTCGCGAATCTTCTGCCACATTTCACCAGCTGGCTGTTCTAGCGTCATCTTGGCTGAATCGACTGGTTCTGAGAATAAGATACAATGCAATTATATATGTATCTTCTTATAAAATTTTCACACAATTTTGACTTCAAAGGTAAATAAATAATAAGGTTTCCTATGGTTAAAATTAAGTATTGAACAGTTCTCATGAATATTTAGGTCATACAACCTTCGCACTTAATTGTCTTAAATCCACTTGCATCTACGAATAATTATTATTTGTAGACTTGCATTAATACTTTTTCTATAGATCTAAAATCCAAATTCAAAATTATTCCGAGATAAAAAAAAACCTTAGCACTGTTCTAGACTAAAAATTATAGATATTATCATTAATATTTGACGCAGAATTTTAAATGTAATAGCGATAGGCCGTATAATTATGGTGTTACAATTGTAATTTGTCACCGTGGGAGGGTCAATTATGGGCCAAATGGGCCAACTCGAACGGCGTGATACCACGGCCTCACAGAAAATCGGTGAGTTACTGAGTTATCGGAGTACTAAACCCTCCCTCCTCTTAATTCTAGGGAAGGAATCTAAGTGCTACAATTTACTTCTTTTTATTATTTGAAGAAGACAACTCCCGCACTAGCAATAAATACTGTGTCGCGGGGGACTTCACAAACATATGCGAAACGGACACAAAGGACACCCAGACTCAGAACAATAATTTGTGGTATTGTCCCATGTAGGGATCGAACCCACAACACTCAGCGCAGTAAGAATTCTCTGCATTCTCTATCACATATATTATAATGGAGAGTGCTTCGAGGACTTGTTCGGACTAATACCGGCCGCAACTTTCCGCCTTCGTTCTACACGGCAAAGTTTTCATCCCCATCATCTGGATAATTGGCGCTAAACTACTGTGCGCTTTTTGAGACACTCCGTATTATTTAATAGTAAATAAATACATTATCAAACCCTTGTTACACCTTTACAACAGCGACGTCGCCCCTAACGAATACTGTTAAATAATTTAAGAATAATCGGTTTCTCATAAGACTTGACTTCCACGGTATCATATTTTAAAGTGGTAGAAGAAAAAATAAGGGATGAAGTATACGGCGAAACTGCTGCACTTTTTAATTTCAGGCATCGGCAATAGCTTTTCATTTGGGTTCCTTTTTGGTATATAATCCTAAATTGTATGATTTATAACCTGCATTTAAATAATATTGGCACACGTACATAATCAAACAGGGTGTTACATTGTTCAATCAAACATACTTGGCTTCAACCTTCACAGTTGCCATACGACGTATGTGTCAAAGTAAAACTTTGTATCTGGTACATGAAGGAGCTAATTACGTATTGGATTGTGTAACTTGATGAAATAAATTTTATGAAGCCCGCTCGTGCTTGTGATGCATATTAATAAGTGATTTATCAGACCGGTACCTTATTAAGTGCGTGGAGTGTTCCTATTTTTGATTTACAAACTGGTTCAATAGAAGTTACTTGTAACAAAAAATCTTGTTAACTCTTTTAACTGTACCTTTGGTATAGTAAAAAGAATGGTTCTATCATGAGGACACGATGAAGAAATGATTAGGGTTGAAACATAATTGAAAACTTAAAGTTCAAGAGGTAAAACATCTAAAACTAGTAGATATATGTTTTGTTTTTTTTAAGTAAACGAAATATAAATATTTTTTTTGTATGTTTATTACCGTATAACATTAAGCGTATAGTATACTATACACCAAGTGTATAGTATAAGTTAACTATTATAAATATACATATATAATAATAATTATATATACATATATAATAATTGACTGCACGGATGGCGTAGTGGTTTAAGTGGTCGCCTCGCCGCTTCCTACTACGCCGAGTGTTGTGGGTTGAAACCCCACATGGAACAACACTTTGTGTGATCCACAAATTGTTGTTCTGAGTCTGGGTGTTCTTTGTGTCCGTTTCATATATGTTTGTAAAGTCCCCCGCGACACAGGAATATGTATTCCTAATGCGGGCGTTGTCTTTTTAAAAAAAAATATATATATATATATATATATATTATGGTATTACGATTAGGTATACCTAATGTATTTATAATATAGTATAATTTTGTCTTAGATATTAATTAGTCATTTATCTAATTAGATTCAATTAAACACCTGGCGTTAAGTCCGCCTTATGCAATGTATTTGCAGGAAGCAAAAATATCTTTAAAGCAATAATTTGAATATTGCAGTTTAATTGGTTTTACATAAAACATACATAAATAGGTATACAATCAATTTATAGTCCACATCTAAACAGATTTAACATCATGAAGCCGAGTGTTACGAGCCATTACAGTATTATTTAAAAACAGCCATCAAGAAAACAAACATTTCATAAGCACGTTATAAATATAAAAATAAATTGCACATAATTGACAAAGCAATTTACTATATTACGTAAATTATGATGCACGAAAACTAAATAAAAATATTAATAATAAAAAAAAAACAAATAAAGAACTGACCGCTCCACTGAAATAAGAAAGCGAAAAAGCGCCAATAAAAATCTTTAAACCCGTTATAAAACATTAACTTTTACTTGACAAAAAAAATGGTTTTGTAACTACCTAACATTTTGCTTGGCGTGACCATTTTCATGCAACGAAAAAAGTAATTTAGTGAGTATTTCAACAAGTTTCACTTTTTGGCTGTTGAGCAACGACTTTGCCTCTCGTGCGGCCACAATGTCCCGCTCTGTTTCGTCTTCGTAATTACGGCTTACCATGCATGCATGGACATGCAACCTAGTTCAGTTTTAACTTGTAAAAACTTACGAAAATGAAATCATTTGAAAGTAAAAACAGCGCCATCTTCTCGCTGTTTTTTAAAGGAAATATTTTAATTACGGCGTACCACAGAATTTTATAAAATTGTGATGTACCTAGTGGTTCACAAGGTGATTAAATAGTTCTACAATACAATGATAGAGGGCATTGTATCGAGAATCAAAATTAATGAATATTTTTTTATTAAATAAGTTGTAATTGATTTATTTAAGTCTTCAAGTCAATGTAAGTTAGCTGGCAGTCCTTTTGCTGCTTTAGGCTGCTACGATGGTTTATGTAGGTATTCCTTTCTGATAAACTATTGCACAGTACTATTAATATTTCAAATTGTCACATTAAAGGTTTTTCACACTTTCAGGTCTTTGTAAATTTCTTTGTAAATGTTTATGTATTCATAGACTATTTTCTTGAACAGTATTTACTATTAAGTCAAAAAATGGTTTCCGTATTATTACTAATTGGCTTCTGTCTATTGAGAAGCCAGTCTGCATCCGAAAGTCAGTATTTAATGCTCGTTTGAGGCTCACTTTGCGATATACATTTTGAAGAAGTTTGGGTAAAGGTTCCCTTTTCACTGCTAGTGCGATTTCATTATTAAAACAATTTCTCTTCAAAAGATGAATAATCTGTACAAATGTAGTTATTATTGTATTCCACAGTGTAGCCAAGGGTGTCCTGGTCACAGCGACTTGCCATAAGTTGGTGACAGGACACGGAATTTCTTGCTTTAACTAAATGAAACCAACTATTTATTACATCGTTTAGCTAAAAAATTGAATGAGTTTTAAACTTTGCAAAGTAAATAACAAGGTGCGAATAAGCACATCAAATAAATGATAACAAATTAATACCCTTTAAACTAGAAATAAAGCTTTAGCCATTTTAAAAAGTTTGATTTTATTTACGGCAGTTGTACTCGTAAGAATATTGACGAAAGTAAAAATTATTGATTTTAGAGAATGGTTATGAATTTGTGGTTTGAAGTGTTTTGTTTCAAATCTACATATACTCGTATATAAGAGATTTCCACGTATATAGCCACTCATTACGATATCTCTGGAACCATTAGAGCTAAAGACTTGAAATTTGGTAGGAATATTCTTTTCACCGAGTAGAGGTCAGCTAAGAACGGATTTTACGAAATTCCACCCCCAGAGGGCTGTGCGGGGGCGTTGAAAATTAAATTTTTTTTTTGGCAAAACAACGTTTGCAGGGTCAGCTAGTAAAATGTATAGTAGTAGTATAGTGTATAGTAGTAGTGGTATAGTAGGCCTAAACCTCCTCACTAAGGAAAGGCCTGTGTCCAGCAGTGGACTATTAAAGATTGTTGATGTGATGTGATGATTAAAAAAATAAAAACCATGTCTCAGTCTAAGGAACGTTGGTGTAATATTGTCTTTGAGTTAAGAATAAAATGTTTTAACCTTTATCAACGTTTCTCACACTTAGTTCATTTTACTGCCCTTATGTGCACAGTGATAATTAGTTAGTGGTGCCACAACGGGGAACATATTTTGTTTATATAGGTATATTTCTTAGTTTGAACGAATGAAAAGATAAGTTTTCCTAAATTAGACAATTCCTTCGATTCAAAGGATATCGGAATGATTGAGTATATTTAAATACCTTTACAGAACAAGTGATTAGAACATAAAGCATTGAATGTATATTGAAGACAAAATATAAAATATGTAATTAGAAATAGAAGTAATGTGTTACAGTTTGCCAGTGATGATATTTCATTATCAACAGAGAAACATTATTTTTTTACCTGCCAACTCATTATAGTTCTGATAGATATTCCGTAGACCTACAGCCACACTAACCAATCCCGTTTTTACAGCTACCCGTTTATTACAGCAAAAAATACCACGTCCCACCACCAATCACAGTCATTTAAAATTCCATTAGCACTCGATTCGAACACCAAAAAAATCGAAGCGAGAAAGACGTGACTTCCGCGCATTTCGCTTTAATAAGCTGGCTTGGAAACCAGCGGCGGCATTGTAATAAATAACTGTATCTAACATTCGATGCAATTATTTAGAAAGGTAAAAAGATGATTTGCTCAAATATCTAGCGGTTTTATTTTTAACCGACTTCAAAAAAGAACGAAGGTTCTCAGGTCTCTAGGTCAGAACCGACTTGATTGTTTTTTTTTGTACCAATCAAGAAGTGTTCCCTACTTCCCCTTCTTGTTCAGTCAAATTTAAATTTAATAAAATAATTTCTAGAATATGTTTCTTTGCAATTCATCATGATTGACTTTGGTGATATTTTTAAAAGTTAATATTTTTTAATGTAATCTTGAAACGTGAACGTTTTGAAATTTTACTTATTTCGATGTAGTCTGAGGATCTAGATTGTACAAAAACCTACTCGTACTTAAACTTTACGATCCTATATAAAATGTTCTTTTAAAACATAAAAATTAGTAGATCTCTTGCGAATTTCAACTCACAGACAGAAGATTGTTACATAAAATAAATATACCATCCCATATAGAATATTCTCAAAATATTCTCAATTAAAATACAGCTAATACCTGGCAAAACAGCAAGAAATTGTAATCACTTTAACGTCAACATTTGTTTAGACTCATTTCGCATTCGTGTACTTTGGAGTCTGGCATTTTTTTTTTTGAACTGTGTTTACATGACACGTCTTTTTTGTCATAAAGGTTCAGTATGATTCTATATTTAGAAAGGAACAGTTTTTTATTTCACACGTTGAAGCTTAACTGGTTTGAGAAAAACAAAGAAAACATCATTCTACTAGTTTATAAAAGTTTGTTTATAAAAGTCATACAAATCAAACGTCATTTGTATGAAAATTCGGCATAATCTATTGTTTTAGAAGAACTGCAAAAAGCTCCATGTTTAAAACAATTTAATGTATCTTTTTTAAAACTTACCTATATGAAAACCACAACATCGAGTTACTTACAACCAGTATTTATGTGTGTAGATATGTCTTAGTAATTAGGTACATATAACAAGTACTACAAGTTCTACTGGCCCATGAAATAAAACACAAATTAATTAGGTATAGTCGGTATTCAACCGACTGTCTATCTCTAGTTTCATGTAGGTATAGCAAAACATAAAATTATTTGGTGTCGTTTGGTATTTTAACTATAATAATCGCGGTATACCTAAATCATAGCCATGTAAAAAAAAACACTGACATATTTATGTAAACTTAGCATAAAATATGTTACTCTTACAGCTTAAAATAAAGTTAAATATTGAAAAAAAAAGGAAAGTGGCTGTGTTTCTCTGATACGTTATCAATCATTAAAAGATACAAATGAGTCAACTGTATAGGTAGGTTAAGGTTGTGAGAAAATTCACACGTTTTACTGTGCATGCAAAATTATGTAATTTGTTCTTGGCTAGTGGCGATGAGCTTGTATACAAACTATTTTGAACTATGAGGTATCCTAGATTATCGATCTGTTTTTGTGTTATCGATGTGAAACGTCTAATGCGGTGACCGGCCGTCAGACCAGCTGTTGGTGTGGCGACGCGTCGCTCGTCGGCACTGCATGCGTTGCCACGCTATGTGATATTATTTATGTTTTTAATTGCGCTATATTTGTCATTTCCTTTTATAAATATTATTATTATCTACAAAATAATTTCGGTGTTTTCACATCAACCAGATTTCGACAATACTCAATTTTACATTTTTTCTTTATCAAGGAAAAATCTACTGGCAAATAGATGATTAAAAAAACTGAAAAAAAGCTATTCATAACTATAGTTATACGTATACGTTTTATAAGTTAATTCAGTTTTAGAACAACATTTAAAGTCAGTTAATGAACATTGTTAGTAAAACATAATTGGTAACGTGTCAATGTCTAAACATGATGTTACTATGTAAATATTGAAACAGTTTTTTTGAGTAAAACTAATAACAGTAATAACCGAAAACGGATGTCTACTAAGCTTTAATATACATAGGTACCATATTTCTTAGATATCGTACAATTAAGATGACGTAAAGGTTCAATTACTTCAATTACGATGGGTTTCCCCAGATGAGGGGATTACAACAAACTTTTGTAATACAGGTTAGGTTTTGTTTGCATTTGATCAGTATTCTTTTACATCTATTCCAGTTTGTTAGCATCTATTTAAAAAAAAACGCCAATTAATGGCGGTATTAATGGTTTAAATGAAACCAGCATTAATCGTTAATTTTTGTTATTTCCCAATCCATTTTCATTTAATCATTAAATCTTAAGCTCAATTACAAGTACAGAGGACACGTATCTTTACATTAGATTAATAGACAACATGAATATATCCCGTGAACCGTCCTTCTCAAGGGCGGCCATCATGTTAAAGTTTTTGGAATATAACGTAGATAGTTCGAAGAATCGAGATCGAGTTACGTGTCGAAATTGTAACAATCGCGAAATTGTAATTGTCGCGATCGAGTCGTTATTGTGTCATAATTGTTTTTAATTTTAAACCTGAATGATATAAGACTAATTATACTTAAGTCATTAGAATGTAAATTAAAGTACCCCATGTTTTACTGCTTTATTCAAAGTTAGTTGCAAAACACCCACCGCTCCAGTGACTACCCTTTTTACCAAACTGAGACGTTTAACACGAGAGAACACCATATAACGCAAATATATAAAATCTTTTAACTCCTAATATATTTTTGATACGAGGTATTGCGTCCTCGAGCGGGCGTAGTCCCTTTCCGTGGACGACCCGTCTGCCCACTACGTAATCTAAAAAAAATCATCGTGACAAATGATAAGTTTGGAAAAGGAATGTTACCCAATAAAACGCGTGCAGTAAATTCACGCAGAAGAATTAATAAACAACAAAGAAACACAGTTTTTTTTAAGTTACACGATTCCGTTCTGCCAAGTTTATATAATGCGCATTTTGATTGGTTACTTATTATGAATCCTATATTCATTTAGTACGCAGAATTTTACGGTTACTTGAATATGCCGTCAATTTCTCTTAAAACTTAAGGCAAGTTACACGCTGTCATAATACAAAGAGAACATAATATGTCTTGCGTACCTAAATGTAAGTAAAAAGCAGGTATTTCATTCATTGAGAGCTAAATAACTATCGTCTGTTTCATCTGAGGAGTATAACTCCTCCTCTTCCGTATACTATAGAACGTTGCCAAAAATTGAAATTCACTTATACTACCAAAATTGACGCAATTGCATCTTAAAACCATGGGTGAGCCAGGCTTCAGTACCTAAAGGATGGATCTGTTTTTTGTGATACCACGATGATATAATTCAAATATATACATACTTCAGGTATATTCTACTTTGCATGCGCATTATTTTAATATGCGCATAAAAAAAAAAAAACAATACGAACCAAATTCTTCTTGATTATCTGCCACAAATAAACAGCGTCAGTCCAAATATATATAAATAGGTATATATATATATATTTGAAGCAGCTTATTTGCGTACGTAATATGATAGGATAACCAAAAAATATAAATAATAATTTAAGAATCAGTCGTCAGAAAACAAAATTCTTACTAAAATAATTACAGAAATAAAAGAATTAACTCTAGATTTCACTGCTGAAAAAGCAGTATACATTTGGATCAGTTCTAAGCGGTAAGCTGTTTAATAAACATAACAAAAGAATTATATATAACTTTGTAATCTTAAATATTGTAACTATTTGTTACATATATCAACATTATTTAACAGAATATCAGGTTCTCTTTTAAGCAGGAGTTATATAATTAGGTACTACGTACATTGTACAGATTACATATTATGTGATATGTACTTCCAATACAAAGGTGCATTAGTACGCCTACATGAGTATTTATTGTTGTAAGAAAACAGTGTACACTTGGCCTTAGTAATTTCTCTGAGGAGGCATTGACCGCAGACTCCAGTAAGGTAAGTACCGGCAAGTCTCGCAATTTTCATCTGCTTCAATGCGAAACGTGTATGTACCCGTCTCTTTTTGCGTGGTTACGCTAGCTATTCGAAATATTCGAGGCAAATCTAGTTTATGGGTTATTAAATATATTTCTTTCTCTGTCACGGAAAAACCGTCTAAAATAGTATTAAGTTTAGTTTATTCGGATATTACTGATAAATTTAGCATCAAAAACTCTTACCACAAAATATTATCCAAAAGTTACACTTCCTGTAAAATTAAATAATAACTACAAAAAAAGAAAAAGAAAATCACCTTTAAATTGGAAAATTAAGTCACACGCCAAAGTCTCTACAATAAACACACTGGCACTTTTACGCAACGTGTTTGGTGATTATTAGTCACTTTTGGTACTAAAATTCTACTGTGTCACTACGCGGAAGACGCGCAGAAACGAATGCCTTGGGTTGTGCGCGAGCGCAGTTTTTATCATTTCGTCACGCGTTTTGCGCGCGGTTGCAATTGCAAGGAGGGAGAGGTACTGTTTCTGTGCTTGGGGTACCTACACGTTCAACTGAGAGCGGGTTAGCTAAAAGTCTGGAACAAACTTCTTCTTCTTACATATTGATTACCAATTTATCTTATTTCTGCTTCAAGAGCTTTGAATCTGTTAGTTACTTCCTATCTCGTATAGTACATTTTTTGTAGTACTAACTGTACCCTGCCATGCTTCGCTGTGGCACATTGTGATTGCAAAAAAAAAGATTCAAACCATCTTTGAAGTGTGTTTTATATTGGGTCAAAATTTCAAAAGAAAACATAACTATATTTACACAGAAACAAAGAATGTGCATCAACACTTGAACTTATTGTGTGTCTGCATGAGCTCAACCACATCAAAAACGCAGTTAGTTTTCGCAAGCTAATACTCGTGGAAATTAATTAAGATTTCGCATTTGAGAAAAAATCAACTGGTCGATTACTTTAAAAATGAGACAATCACTAAATTGTTTTAACTCGCTGATAGTAGCAACACAGCTTAACCAGAGTCCCCAAGAAGTAATGACTCATCGTGAAAGAAGCTGTACCTTAATGTTTAGTTTGCTTGTTTGTTTTTTTTTAGTTTGTTTTAAGTTAAATTTAATATTGTTAAGTATATTTCAGATTACTTTTTTGGTACAACTAATGTATATATATAAATATAATTCTACTTCCTATAATAACCTGGCATGTATCTGGAGAAACATTACATTAACATACATACAAACATGCATTACATTTTGATCGTCTTTTTTCGCCCATAAAATGTTGATCTCCTTCTTTAATGAAAGTAGAAACAATTTTATAAGCAAAATTTAAATGTGGCTATTTCCTTAAATTTGTTTTAATTGATTATTGTTTCAAGAGTATAGCTTAAAAATGCATTAATATGTTTTAGATGCAATCGATAACGCAATAGGACATTATACACAAACCAAATTACACTAGTATCCGTTAAAATCAAAAATTAACAGCGAATCTGATAAAGGACCTCTCAGCAATAAAATTAATTGCAAATAGAGGCTGATATGATACTAAAATACTCTAAAATTATTTTTCATATATCATATTATATGATATATGAAAAGAAATATATATTCTGTCAGAAATTTGCACAGAAATGAAAACACGTGTTCATAAATTAACCAACTGTATATGTATGAACACTTAATTTTTGGTCATTAAAAGCTTTCAAAGGCACCCATATATTACACCCGTACATTATTCATCAGTTTAATTAATAATTTATGAAATTGCTTGATAGAAAGGCAACATGAAACGTAGTGTAAATATAGTACAACATTGGTACCAAAATGTGACCGCTTTAAAATATTGTCCGAGTTATTTAGTTGGTAGTCATCCAGTACTGTATATTTTTGTTGAATTTGTGTTTGTGTTGAATTACATAAACGAGACTGTACTTGAAATCGCCTATGGCTGTTATTGATTGAAATATAGCTTGTTAATTGTCACCATTAAGCGCTATTATAGCAGTTCTGAATGATTCCAGAAGAACTATAGCGCTTAACACTGACTGATTAAACAAATAACAGCAGGTACATGATTGTAACTGCTGCTAATCTGGCTGCTTGTAAAACTAAACTTTAGCTTATCATACAAACATTTGGTCCGACCCGGGAATCGAACCCGAGAACTCAGCACAGCACGCTACCACTGCACCACCGAAGCAGTTTGTTTCATCCTTTCTTCCCCAGGCCTTGGGAGTTAGGAAAGGCTGAGCTTATCTGCTCTAAAAAATTTTTAGTTAACATACTCATAGTTTAAGTAAGAATCTTTTATTAAGAAATGTTAGCTATTTTATTATTTTCAAGTTGTAGATTCGTAATAAGGTTTGTTTACGAGCTTTCTAAACGAAAGTAATTCAGAGATCACAGCTTCGTTCTACCAAACAACTCTAAAATATGATCACAACTTTCTGTAATATCTTGTGGTAGAGAAAGACTTGAATGTACTCTGAAAAGTGTGCGTTAGAATAGGATGAGATATATATCATCACCATCCAATCCTTACAGAATTTGGTTTATCATCATCATCAACAGCCTTTAATAGTCCACTGCTGGACATACGCCTCTCCTTAGACAAAGAAGTTTTGGCCTCCTATACCACGCTGGCCAGACGGGTTGGTCCATAGTTTGTGTCAAGTTTTCTTTCTCTCTGCAGTGCTGTTGTCCTGCGTAGTTTGCTCCCTTAGTCGCCTCTTACGACACCTACGGCATGAATAGGGGTGGTGAACCTCTGAATTCTTAATCCGTCACCACACGGAAAACTTGTTTTGTAATCAAAGCAATGTTTATCATTGCAAGTAGTTTCAAGGAGAGTCAAATAACACAAGTTGAATCTTATTCTGGGTACGAGAGTTTATCGAAAATAATGTTAATATCGTGTTTATATTTTTGTGCGGTATTGAGAAATAAATCTTTTTTTGAAGTGAAAACTTCTTTAGCACATTTTTTTTTGTAATGGGTAAAAAATGTTAAACTCGCGTCAGGACACGTGACCTGATCGAAAATTCGTAAGACGGTGGAGAGACAGCCGGCACTGCGTAGGAGAGGAAGTATCCCCCTCTCTACGGCGCGGTGAAAATGTATGCCTGCGCCTGCTGTTTTGTTAAGGCGGGAGGCCCGGGAGTCAGCCATTCGCCGATAAACTTCAGCGAGCACTTCCGCCTCCAAATCCCACGGGGCAGTTCCGGCCAACGCGCAAGAAACCTCCGTCGAAACGGTGTGGTAACCGCGTATGGCTCTAACCGCCAATACCCTCTGAGGGCGCCAGAGGCGTGCCCTATTCTGGGCGGTCAGAGCCGCCGCCCACACCGGTGCACCGTACCAGTGCCATTGATCGGACAACCCCCGTGTACAGCCGTCTTGTCGCGACGCTGGGTCCACCCAAATTGGGTAAAAGTCGCCCTAGGGCAGACGCAGCGCCGACCAGCTTTGGAGCAAGCTGTCGGAAGTGCTCGTCGAAGAGTCACCTCCCGTCGAGGATCAGACCCAGATACTTCATCTGGGCCTGAACCGGTACGAGGACCGAGTTTACCACGATTGAGGCGCCAGGGGGTGGACCACGACGGGGCCCATGAAATAAGAGAGCCTCCGTCTTATCTAGGGCCACCCGTAAGCCCAGCGCCTCAATGCCACCAGGGAGACTCCCCTTGTGGCCAGGCGCGCCGCCTCTTGGAAGTTCGCCCCCCGGGCAGTCACCAGAGTATCATCTGCGTAACAAATTGCACCCAGCCCGGGGGGGGGGGGAATCGGCTCGAAGGGCACAGTCGTACCCTATGTTCCACAAGAGGGGTCCAAGAACAGACCCCTGTGGAACACCGCAAGACATGGGCCGACACCTCGAAAACCACTAGGCTACCCTGCCTTAACCGCTAAGCTATTATTATTATTATTGCAAAGAGTTTTGGCTACCTTGTTTTATGGTCAGGTCGGGTCGTGACATAAACCTTCCTTGGAAAGTTTATCACTTCCACGAGACAAATGAAAATGGTTTTTTAGGGAGCAAACGGGTCACCTGTCGTAAGCGACGACCTTTGTCCACAGACGTCTGAAACTCAAAAGTCACAAGTGCGTAGTCCCTTTTTGAGTGATCCTCCCAATTTAAAGCAGGGATTGGTTTAGGTTCTGGCTACCTTACTCACTCGTCGGTGAAAACAATAACAACAACAGGGACAGAAGCACTGATAGAGATAGAGAAGACTATAAAAATATATAAAATTAAAGTGTCTGTTTGAAATGTCAAAATAATAGGTTTTCTTTCATGCTCACACGATTATTTGCACTTCTTGTCTGTCTGTCTATCCTATCTGTCTGTTTGTTCGGGGTAAGCTTCAAAACGGGTGAACCGATTTGGATAATATTTTCAAAGTCGCAGGTACCAGCTAGGCCATAAAACAATACATAAATCACTTAAAATATTTTCTTTAATGAGACTACACCTTAAGACACACTTACCCTTATCAAGTCGAGATGACTTTAAGTAATATATACACACACCGTAACATCTGATAATGAATATGATTGATAAGGATCTCTGTTTGTAATACATACTTAATTAATTTTGTTATGTATAATTATAATTTTAGTAATTAGGAAAATTGGGTAAGCGTAGGCATTTTGATATGGATTTTCTATTATATTTTTTATTTTACTGTTTCGAGGACGTTTCAATTTTGTAACAGTACTTCTGTTCGTGAAACTCGTAAAAAATTCCTTTCATTTCTATGGGTTGTCGGTTGACACAGATTGTGACTGAGAAAATACTTGTTATATGTATTTGTATTTTTTGATTTATGTATTTTTATTTTCTTTATAAATTAAAGGAGTAGGCTTCTGTATTGATTTTAACTACATGTTCATTTTCTAGTTCTGAATTCGAAACTAATCCTCAAAAATAAGCATGGTAAATAACCCATTTAAAATAAGTTATGGTTTTTTGTGTTTTCTTATGTCATATTTAGTCAGTAAAAATTGTTCTGAATAATCTAATAAGTGTATTACGAAAGTAGCTTATTTTTGTTAAGGTATATATTAAGTAAATATTCTATGAATTAGCTAACTTTAATACCAATGCTACTCATTAAAGAAATCATGAATAATAAATTTCAAATTATATTGAGATTTTCTAATGACGATGTATACGGCCATTAAACCAAAGCGTTTCTTGTAAATAAAAACTGAAAATGCTCAAATACCTGCTCGTGTCAGTTAGTTAACGTTGTTCGTTATTACGTCCGACCACACCAGTTCAACTCCGGTTGTTGTTCACCACAACTTGCGGTTCTCTTTGAAATTGTTTTGTTAGATACATGAGAAATTCCAAGACACCAACTTATTTTGGTTATTCTTACTGTACGGATTGAGTTAAAGGGGTTTCTTTATATCATACTTTATTTGATATAATGTAGTCCCTATTACTATGTCCCTACTACAAAACCGTCAATGGTGTTTCAAAATCGAAAGTCATTTATTCAAATCAGGCTGAGTGCTAGCACTTTATGAACGTCGTTAAAGACAGTCCTCCAAAAACGCCTAACTGGGACGAGACACTTCGTAGTGTTTTATACTTAAACTCACTAGCTACATATCCGTCTGTCATACATACGTTATATCCACTCTCACCTATGACAGATTCTAACCAACCAAAAACCGTGCAGTATTGCATAACACGTATACTTATTGCAGAGTCCCGGGTATCATCTAAAGAAGAAGTCAACGGGAACCATAGCGCGCTCTCTTCTTGCAGCCAGCAGCAGCAACTTACGTCACCGTTGAGTATACAGCATGACCGCTGGGTGTGGACAGTACCTAGAGGACTTCGCTACCCTTTTTTTTTTAAACCTACCGTTTCTTGCTACGCTTTTTAGTCTATTGGAGCTCTTAAATAAATGTAAATACCTGAATAATTTGAAGGCGATGCCAAAAATTTCTCACGATTCAAATTAATTGATATTGTTTGTTGACTGCCATTATTTCACTTCAGATAAAAATGAATGTGCTTATTGAAAGGTTTGATCCGAAATAATATCATTTATGTATACCTAGTGTCTTAATATAGGAGCTTGGATAGTATAATACTTTTCTTTCGTATTAGATATTTAAATAGAACGCAGTAAACCCCAATCGCTACCTTCTGGCCAGCAGTGCTCAAGGTTTGATATTTTAGACACTCCGACGCCTGATGCATGTTCTGCCAAAAACGACAGTACCAATTACTTTTCTTTCCTTTTACTTTTATAACTTACAAGACATATGTAATCATTTCATCAGCGAGATGAATGACCAGAACAACTACAAAATCAGCTTATTACAACCAAATTTTTTCTTTGAACATTTTGCATTTTAAATTGTTAATAATAAACCGAGCTATGAACGTAACCGTAATGTTCAGAAAGTATCTTAATAGCGGTGAGTCATATGGTACGGTGTTGCCTGCCTTAACCGCTAAGACGTATTTCCATTGTAACACGTCAGTAAAAAGGTTTATCATCAGTTTCCTTAAAAAAGTTTATAACAGGTATATAAAGAAAAAGATGTGATAAGCAAAATGCAGAAGATATGAATGGAATGGAAGTAAACAGTGAACTGATCAGTCATAGAGAAGAATGGAAGAAGAAAACTTGAAAAGAGTAAAATGATGAGGTAAATAAAGAAAACGTAAGGTAAAAATATACCTGAAACAGAAAAAGTATTCTGTACTAGAACTATAAATATACATCAATTTTAATTTCACGAGCGCTTTTAATATAGACAAGTCGTAAGAGAAGTTGCTTCTAGATAAAAAAAAAATCAATTTATTTTTCTGGTACGAGTATTTGAAGGGCTTTGTCGCTGTGCGATCGCATCGGACCCGGGCTTACTTAAGTTTTTTTTTAACATTTCTCAATCCATCCGTAATTATTAAAAAAAAATTCCTACTTTTCTCGTTCAGTGATTATATAACTAAAGTATAAGTAGTTGTAAATAATAATAATAATATTTCGGACATCTGACACACAACGCCATCTAGTTTCAAAATAAGCAGAGCTTGTACTATGAAAGCTAGATTGACTTATAGAATACCTTAATATATATTTTTTTGTAAATATAAACATAGTATACATAGATAAAACCCAAACTCCGAAACAATTTTTTGTAAATAATAAACAACAACTATAAACTGCGTGATATTTTTTACGCGTGAGTGGGTGATTATGGCAGAATGGTGGGGAATTATGGCAGATTTTCTATAATATTCGTTTTCTATTTCTCGATTT